GATGTGCACAACAGTGACCAGGATTTGTACTGATGATTTGGCTATTTTTTCAGAGAGTTTAACAGAAAATCTACTAAGAATTATTATTCCTAATAATATGCTCAATAAGTAAACTTGATGCACTGCCAAAAGGCCTTGCTTCCATATCTCAGTCATCCCATTGTATAAACATAATGGATGACTTAACTGTGTGTGACCCCAACTACTTACTAGCCAGTTCATTTCTTTTAAATTTATTGATGGTGGATCAAAAAAGCCAAATATTTGTATACAGAATATTATACCATTGAGTGTACCAGTCGTTAATGTCAGCTTGAGAGCATAGCCTAATATGTAAATTGTTAAAGGACTTACAACAGCATATACTAATAGCATCAATAGCCACCAGTTACTGCACTGCTTACATTCAGATGAACCGAGCACTGCACTGTAGCCAGTGATACACTGTGAACACAAAAGCCCTTCTCTATTTTTAACACACAATGGTATGGAGTTACTAAGATTATTGGAGTCTGCTATTGCCATATAAGTGTCATTGACTACCAGTTTAGTGTAGCCACTTTTATACCTACAAAACTGAAAACAGTTTAATGCTGCACCAAATACAACAGTAGGTCTATCATTAGAAACGTTAGTTACTCCAATCCACTCGGTATTAGTTCTAGTGATTGTGGGCAAAACATAGTTTTCTCTAGAGTTTATGTGACAATGGGGTTTATAGAAGGGATTGCTTATACTAAGTTGATGCAATACACTTGAGCACACACATTTACCTTCAGTAACATTTAGTTCAAATCCTATGGGACAATCAAGTAATTTTATATCGTGCAACATCAGTTGTGATGAAATGGAGCTGGACAATACAATAACAGCAGGGGATAGAGGATTAGGTGTATTTTTATTCTTGAGGAGGGTTATTGTAATTGCAGTACAATCTTTCCTTTCTATTAAAGCTTGATTTGCACTATAAGCTGATACTTGCCAGGAAAGAACAGAAAAAGGACTTTTTCTATCTATAATTACAAACGATACAACTGCATATTGATTTGTATGTGTATATCTTTCCTCTGCTGCTAACCAAAGTCTAATGGTTTGTCCTGGATATGCTTGGATGCCCAAAGCAACTTTTTCAATACAAATATATTTAGTTCTGACATTGCATAAACAAAGTGAATCAGGTGGCATTGAAATGTGAGATAAAGAGAAGATATTGTGATAAAAAATTTTCAATTCTGTATTTGATCTAGCTATGCCATTAATTGAGCAATCATACAAATTACTACTGTAGATAGAGCTGCCTGCCTCTGTAGCTTTGTTATTAATAAATGTCATTTTTATGTCTGTACCACTATCATCATGCTTTTGAAACATGCACTCATCAAAGTCACTATAAACAAAAGCATATATAGCGCCACCTTTTAACAGAGCAGTATTATTAATAAAAGTAGTATTTGACTTATTAAAAAGAATGAAATGACTTCTTCCATGCACTTTGAAAGCTGGTCCAATTTCTCCTTTATTTTCAATGAAGGTAATATTTCCAATGATCTTGATTTGTACATCTGTCACATCAAAAACAGATCCAAAGTTATTGTGGTACTTTCCCCCAAAAATAAATAGTTCAGAATTAGTTATGGCAAACAATCCTGCTTTGGCAATGCCTACATCTGCTTGAAAGTTATTATGTGCAGTTATGTTTAGAAGATAAATGCTGAATTCACATTGACTTCCATGATTGATAGCGTACAGACACAAACCTTTTGTTGTATAAATACTATTGTTTCTGAAAACTGAATTGCTGAAAATAACTTTTATGTTGTTAGAGGAATTATATGCACCAATAAAAACTGCACCTGTGAAAAACCATCTCCCTATACCATGCATGCTTCGGTAGATGCCAGAAAACAAACTGTTACTCACATATGAAAATATATTTGATGCGTTTATCATCATTAATGAAAGACTTGTTCCATGACAACTGTCAACAAAAATTATGTTAGAAATAAACTCTACTTGATCAAGTACTGTGAATCCAAAATTGCTTTTAAAATATAGCACAGACATTGCTCCAATTGTCAAACCACTATTTTCAATAAATTTTGCTTTTTGAAGGACAAAAATTGTCTTAAACAGTGTTTGACTGTAAAGGATAGTCAAACTATTTGCATTGCTAATAGGGAGTTGACTGGTTGCAAACTGTTGCTGGATGTCAAAACTACATTCTCTGTCAATCATGTAATCAATATTAGAAGTTGCCATCATATTGGTCATTGTGGCAGTGTGTGTACTCTTGTTGTGATAATCAAAATAGTACATAAAAACGCCACTACCAAGAGCTTCATCATTGAGGCCTTTTATTGATGTACTAGAATTGATAACTAAACCATCTATTTTTGCATCCATTGGGTTAGTGGCTAGTATAGCAAAACCATAATAAGATGTAATGTTAACATCAATCAATTAGTAGAACATTGATGAATGGGAATAGCAACACTGCTGATTGATATTGAGTAAAGTAAAATGGCTGATTTGTAGAATTAATACTATCAATAATTGTACTGCTCTTTAAAAAACTACCACAGCCTATAAATACTAACCTTTGCAGAGTCAAACTGTGTACATTAACGAAAGAAAATCCAGTGGTTGGCCAATGAGAGTCGTTACCAGGTTGATTGCAGTTGATGATAGCAGGTAGTGATGAATCACTGGTTATAGTAAGCGACTGGGTGGTATTGATCATACAGAATGATTCATTACCACTAATGTAATGAGTGATGTTTGCAGTAGACAATACTACAAGAGTGTCCCCCACTACTGGTGGATCATTGTAGCACAAAAACTGCTCCAGCTCCTTCTCTTGGGTCACGTTAACAACATGAAGTTGAGCTTGTGAAAATGACAGAGAAAGAATGAGGAATAATTGCAAGCAGAGAGCCATCATGTTGATCATCTGTAAATAATAGTGTATTCCTTTAAAACTCTGCCTATAATGTAGTCTATGCTGATTTGAAAGTAAAAGAGAGTTGAGTTTCCAGTATGAAACCTATGTTATTGTAAACTGTTATACAGCGTTAGATCTATTCCTAATTTCTTTCAGTTTCCAATTAGATCTAGGATAATTTATTATCCCAATGTTAATAAATGAAGCTGAATGGTTATCACTGCATGCAATGATATTTTAGAACAATGGTCATTAGTACTATACTGAAAACAAGTTATTTCATGTAATAAATAACTTGTCATTGACTAGTGCTACTGAACACATAATAAAACTGAAAATGGAAGTCAATTTAGTTTGAATTCATTCAAAAAAGAGTAGACAATATTTTACTATTATCAAGCTCTTGTTATTATTCATTATCTCTGCATGCTCAGCCTATCAAAGGCGTGGCTCAACCTGACGCAAAATAGCCAAACACAAAATGGCTGGAGTCAGTGGTTTGTCATTAATTCTTCTGGCGTTCGTTTTCTCTCTTTACTGTGACTCTAATGGTCTACCACAGCCATCTGTGCCAATGTGGCCAACAAAATTTACCATCAGCTTTGACGTCTACATTAAAAACAAAGGAGACGATTGGAAATCTACTGGTGAAATGTACTATGATTGGAATTCAAAGGTATAGACTATTTTATTTTGTTGGTTTAAACTTTTGGAGGGGGATCTAACTTTTTGGGTTTTATTATTGTTTTTGGAGCTTAGTGTACAAAAAACAAAAGAAGCCCACTTATTAAAATTATCAAGGCACTTTAAATCTTGTTGTGCATTATGTCTCACAAGTTTTACAGTTAGCTGGATAAATTTTAAAAGTTTGAGACTTCTTAGTTTGTATAAAAGAAAATCCCTCTTTCATGGCAGATTAACACCACAAAATTGTATTCAAATTTCATGTCTCTCTTAGACATTTCGTGCTGACTACATAGGATGGTGCTTGCCTCCTTTCCCTTCTAATCACAGCGACTACTCCTGCTCATTTCTTGCCACTGGAAGTAACATGTATTTCATTAATCACACAGCAAGTGAATGGGACAAGTACGATTGCTGTCTTTTTGAGGGAGTAAGAAAATGATCATTATTAGTTATTATTCTAATTAAATCTTTGATGATAGGGTCTGGGCAGTGTTCCACCTGATTGGATGAAAGTTGGAGCATACAATGGAACTGATGTTATACAGGTATTAGATTTTAATTGTTTAATCCCAGTAAAATTGCACCAGACATAAAGGTTTTATAGTAATATTAGTAAACACTATTTAGCGTTACTAAGTAGGATTCACCCCACTTCAAAATGGCTGCTACGAGTTTATAGCCTTGCTATATAGTTAATGGCATGATACTAGTGTAGGAGTAATAAGATTCTGAATTGTTTTACATTATGTCTACTTAAAATTGACCTGATATACGGTATACATAGAGATTCTTTAATATGATAAATTTATAGCATTCAAGTTTTGGTTATAAACAGTCCATTGTTTTGATACCAAAAATAGTTTTTATACAAGTACATGTAATACGTATGTATTTATTTTCCTCTGTTGTTATGTGCTCCCTTATGCTATGCAAATTTTATAAAATCATTATAATGTGATACTCCTATTATTTGCCTTTCATTGTATTCATTAATATAGGACATACCTGTAGATGTGTGGTATTTTTCTGGAACAGATAACCCAGAGAAGCCTTGCTATTTTTATTGGAGTGGA